TTTTGTTGACCTTTGTCCATGGAAGGTCCCTGCAAAATTTCATTGAAATTGGTTCAGGGGTTTTGGAGAAGAAGTCGAAAATGTAAATTGTTTACGGACGCACGACGGACGACGACGGACAAAAGGCGATCGCAATAGGTCACTTGAGACTTTGTCTCAGGTGACCTAAAAATGTTTTAAAGAACTATTTGCCAAGCTCATGGTCAAACAATTATAGTAGTAGTAATCAGGCTATATTTTTTTCATACACTACAAATAGCAGTTGCTGTTATGCTCTCATAAATGAACCTTGTTGTAGAAATGATATAAAAGGGTACAGCCTCACTCACCAAATGAAAATATTTCTCTTTATCGCATAATTGGTCATAGATATGATCAGTAATGACATTTCTCATGTTATGTCAACAACTCAACATGGAAAATCCAGCTGTTTCAATATTACACATGTAATTTTGTTTGTATTGCACAAAACATTCTTTCATTAATTGGGGGGAAAGAATGATAAAAAAAGATAGACACTGAATATTTTTAAAAACTGATGAAATGAATTTAAGAAACTAAAATTCCTTTACCATATATTCACCGAGTTTGAACGGCATCTGTTCAATGTTTATGCTGGTATGATAATTGGTTATGTCTTTCACTAATGTATAATTTTTTTTACACTCTAATTTCATAGTTATTAGTAATATCAATATAGAAGTAAATTCAATAATATTTGCGGTATTATATATAGTGTATGTATCATTAATTAGTGCAAACAATATTTCTGAAACGGCATCACATCATCTAAACGTTTGTTCCTTGTGATGGTTTCACTTAAAACGGGGTAGGAACAGAAGCAATAAAATGATACTGATCGTATTGCCTTCTAGCTCGTGGGTCTTAACGCAATATCTTCTGGTGAGTCTTTTTACAGACAGTGTCAGTGGAAGTGTAAATAAATATAAGCAAATAAAGTCATCCGATGTTACAAGAACACTTTAAATCTAAAAGTATTCAGGCATATACATGAAGTATTATATCATTCAAAATTTGAAAACAACAAAGATATATTCAAACTAGAAGATGGCTTAGAAAGCTGTAAGGATATGAAGGAAGATTGTACAAGCTTATTGACAAATTAGCTGCCCTTTATTAAACTAGCGAAAATATTCAAAATCTATATTTTTAAATATCGTATTACCATCTGGCTGAAGGACGACCATTCATTTTCACTTTGTCAGCAAAATGTAACTGGGATTTATTTGGGAGCTCTCGGTGACAAAGATCAGTTTTAAGTCTCAGTTCCAATTTAGATAACACCTTCAGAATGTTACTGAAATGAAATCTTTCGTAATTACCTAAATTCCAAATTTAATTGATTTCAATGAAATCTGAATACTCTCACAAATCTACAGAAATGAAAAGATGGTCTTACCTTTCTACGACGACAGCAAGCGAATGGTATATAAAGTATCCTTACAAGTTCCTTCATCCCACACTTCACACTCTCCGTCACCGACGCCACACTGATCGATGTCTGGTAAGACTGGACACTCTGTCGATTAGACCCAGTATCCTTGTTTTCAGTCTTTGGTAGTGACCGGGTGATAGTACTAGAAACCGTTCCATAAGGTCGAAATCCTACCATACTGTCTTGTTTTATCAATAGCTGTTTTTGATCCGATTGCTCCAATGTTTTTGTCATGGAAACCATATTTTGCTGATGTCTATTTATAGCCCGAGGTGTTACACTTGACCTTGACCTACCCACTGACCCAACCTTCTGATATATCCCAGCAGAACCAACTGACCTAGTTTGAGGACTTCGCTGGTTAGCCTCCACAAACGATGGTGTTCTTATACCAACACCGTCATAGTAATGGTGACCTTCGTAGGAATGTGCCCTTGAAACTGGTTTATCACAATGATGACCTTCAAATGAAGGTGTCTTTAACATAGATGCATCATAGGTTTGACCTTGTAATGACTGTGCCCTAGCAACTGGCCCATGGAAATGCTGACCTTGCCAAGGACTGTTTGTTGTCATGTTTGTGTCCGATGATTTTGTTCTCTGATGATGTCTACCGGAGTTCACAGCAACAGCTGACCTTGACCCTAGATCTGGAGATATGGGACTGGTGATTGGTCTCATAGCAACTGGTGACCTTAAAACAAGAACTGGAGATGTTTGATGAGGTATTGGTCGAACCGTCCTTACCTCCGAGTCATTCTTACGTGGACTAGGACGATGCTGGCTGTCACGTAAACTTAGTTTGGAGGTCGGTCTCGGTGGTTTGGAGGACACACGGAGGGGAGGTACGGGAACAGCCTTCCCAGGAGTATTTTTTACAGTATTACAGGAAGTTGTCTGAATGGCTTCTCCTGGAATGACTGTTTGCAGAAGGCATGTACTTATTGGAATCATAGTCCCAGGAACTCTTTGGTAGTTTTCAAATGTCATAGAACTTCCAGAACTTCCGCGGATAATTCCGGAATTCCTAGAATTATCAGACGTCTCTACACTGATATCCTCTTCTTGTCTGTCTATAACTTGCTCCACTGGAATTTTTATGGAATTGGCATTATCAGGACTTTGCATAATGGCTTCAGATGTACCTTTTTTGGGTTTTGGCCTTTTTTGAATTCTTGCATATTCAACTTCTCTTGATTTTGCGCTTTGAGGAATGGGTTTTTCACTGATAACTGTTGAATAGGGTGATTCAGAAAACACTCTTGGACCATCAACATCATCCAAGGACCTGCAAGCAGAAGTTTGGGGTGAATTAGCACTTAGATGGGGTTGTATTTGTCCAATTTCTACGTAGATAGCCCCTCCAGATCCCAATGAATCTATAGAGTTCCTATCCATGTTCCTAGAGGTCGGAGAGACCCTATTGTCCTCAGGGGTTACAGAAACACTTTGGTCAGTCAGTGTCAAAGACATGCTTGTGTCCTTTGCATTCACAGAAACATCTTGGTCATTATTGGTCAAAGAAACACCTGGGCCCTTTGTGAGGCTACTTTCCACTTTTATTTTTTGGTTATGTTTATTTGTCCTTCCAGGATTGCTCTCAATTTGTTCTGTCAAACACAAAATGTTCTTGTTACCCATAATACTTTCATCCGTGTGAGACAAAGGATCATCTTTAGAGACACTCAAGGTCACAGCAGTACTTCTACTTAATGAAGTGTCCTTGTCGACCTTTGGTGTCAAGGTCATAGTTATAGTTTTGTCTTTTGCCATCAAGGTAGATCTCCAAGGTTTAAGGATGGGTGTAGCTTCCATACCTTGGCGAGTGAGCGTACCTGTCATATCCTGGGGGGTGGGGGTAGCTCTAGATCTCACACCCTCGGGGGCAGGGACATTGATCTTACCCTCAGAGGTAGCACTTATATCAGGGGTATCGTCCATAGCGTGGGGCACAGGGGTAGCACTTATATCGGGGGTATCGTCCATAACATGGGGCACAGGGGTAGCTCTTATATCGGGGGTATCGTCCATAACATGGGGCACAAGGGTAGCAGTGATGCCCTGCGGAGTGATGTTATAATTTACATCCCCAGGAACTGGGGAAGCTGAATGGTCCAAGGAGCTACTAGTTTCCGTGGTTGATGTATTCTCTATCGGAGCTTCCATGATGAAGCAACTTCCCCAGGAGTTTGCTCAATGCAGAAGTCAACAGAATTACACATATTTTCCCCCAACACACTGTAGAATTAATTCTTGATTGGAAATATTAATAATTTTTCATCACAGACTATCACAGATCAAGTACAACACAATGCTAATACAGGTGACCTAATAATCCAATCCGAGTGATGCTTAATCCTCGTTAGAATAAGCATCGTGCCACAACAATAGGTATCGTAGCACTACCACAAGTACTAGCTGTAACTAGTAGTACTGAAACAATGCACACCGTGATAAGCCTGTAACTGCTGTACTGTAACAATAAGCATCCTGGCGAAATCCTGTAAACGCGGTACAGGTAAATACAGCAACAGTTGACATCGTTGGTTAAATATCAACTTTTAAATCCGTGAAACCCTGAAATTTGAATGTAAAAACACAAATTCCTGTGATGAAATGAATTCTAATTCCTTTGTACATAAACACCTCACAATATTTCTCAGATTGATTGAAATCTGTTTTAAAAATTTCCTGGAATTTCAAATCACCGCTTGATGTTTTGAATGAATTGCTTTTTCTTTTACTTGCAGAAGACACGATGAAAACATTTCATATTTCCTGAAAATTAATTCCACAGATATCATGAACAGAACGCTTTTCCACAAGTGACAGCAATAAACTTTTTAAAAAAAAATCTGAAAATTAATTCCAGCGATGTTCACAGTGAGTGGAATGCTTCCCTACAAGCATCTGTAAGACTTTGACTGCTGAGATGATCCTGATGACATGTTTCGTATCTCTGGCGGGTATATGTAATCCTCCGTCATGTTAGAATATTTACCCACACACACTGGCTGTATGGTTTTATCCCTTCTATCATGCAGCTTCCCTATATAAAAACATCACAGAAATTACATCAATCAATGGAAACACAACACTGTACAATACAGAACAGCCTTAAAACAAGATTTCCTTTGGAGTAATTAATTTAAAAGAATTTGGAAAATTTTATAATTTTTTCCTCAACTATTACAGCTGTTTAGTGTGTTAGGATGACTTCATTCTCAAGTATAGGTTTAATCTTCCGTAGTAGATGGAAATTTAATAACCCCACCAAATATCTGTGTATCTATTTTGTAAGATCTTGTTTCGAGCGACTGAGTTGTATTATACTTTGTATGTAGTAGAGAGTAATACCCAGTATAGAAACACTGATCGATTATAATAGACAATCTGTTAAATATGCCTGAAGATATATTTCTCAATGATCAATACACAGAGATAGTATATATACTGTATATGGTTGCCAACTTTTTGAAATTTTCATGGAATGTCCAAAATTAAAAACATGAATAAAATGTGTGTACATACCCCCAAGGGAAAAATTAACACTTCAAAATGGCAGATTTTGGGTTTTTCTTTTAGATGAAATCATTGGATTTTAGAATATAGGAACAGTTTAGAAAATTCACTAGTTGAAAATACTAAAAATTGGGAGGGTTGGCATGTATGAGATACTCAAATCTCAAAGGGCCGGTTTCCAAAACGGCCCCTTCTCTGATTCAAATTTCCTGTTGGTGGTGCATTGCCTATGCCGTTGTGGTCACAAATCTATAAAGTATAAAGATTTAGGTCACTTGGTTTGTTTTTTATGGCTCCTCAAAATTGTACCTTTCAGAAGCTGTCTAAGTGTTGATAAAATGTGCATGTTATGTAAAATATTAATGAAAATCTAATCAAATGATGGTCACCGTAAAGAATACATTCATGGCATGATTGTGACAAAAAATCATGTTTCCATCGCGCCATTTGGCTGTTTTATGGAAGAAACAATCTCAAAAATGCCATTTTCGATGATAACATTTTAGACACAAAAACTGTGTTTTTTAGAGAATACACCCTTTTATGGGCGTTGGATGCAAACCAATTTTTATCCTATTAAACAGTACGTAATATGCTATTGATGAGAGGAAAAATCATCAAAATGTAAGTGGTGGAACATTTTCAAATGTTGGGTTGAATTAGCCTATGGTTGAATTGCCGATTTTCGACTTTCTTTAGATAATTAACAAAAAAACGAGAGTATTTGCTCGGTATGTTGAGAATATGTACACAGATATGAAAAAAAGTGAGAGAAACACTTTTTCATAAAAAAAATCCAAGATGGCTACTTCACAAGTCCCCGTGGTTGAAGACATTGGCTGACAAATAGACAGAACAACAAACAAAACGTGTTCCTTATGATTTTGGTTGGTTTTCGCATTTACGGGAGTGTTCATAGCTACGGGCGATTGTATAATACCTATATTTATAAGTTTGGTTAGTCACATGGTAACGGGGATCTTTCATATCGAGCCCCAAACATACTTTCGACATATGCACTCCGTTGCCGCATGGAAAACTATTTCAAGTTTTGTCGGAATTTCTTTACCTGTGGTTGTAATGGTCGAGGGTTTTCCAGCGTCCTGTAATACCCAAGGTAGTACAAGATACTGGAGATGTGCGCACACATTCCCATCGTTCTCTCTCCAACTGGGCACTGGCAGTAGTAGTCCTTTATTGGGGCCTCAACATCGGGTGAAACGGTGAACCGTATCCAAACGTTATATTTCGTTTGGCTTTTGTGTCGAGAATGTATTTGACATCGGAGAAGGTCTGGGGAGTGCTGGTAAAGCCACACCTCATAGTCTCCGTCATCACTTAAATGTTCGGCGATGTAACCAGGAGCCAGAGATATCTGATACGTTCCACACGTAATGGTTCTCAAGTAATCAAGATCGAGACGGGGAAACAGTACGGAAGATGCATCCATCTTGACAAACTCGGACCTTGCCCGTCTAGATAGATCCGGATCTGTCTTGACTCTCTGAGCTAAACCATTCGGTGTTGTCAAACGGTCCTTCATACGTTCAGCCATTAGCCTATCTTTGGCATCTCTCTCTGGAGATCTCTGGTAGATCGGTCCTCTAATACCATTCAGACAGGCTGTGACGGTTCGAAGCAAAGCCTCGATGACATTGATAAAGCTGTTAGACACCAATTGCGTTCGGAAGAACGTCCAGTGTTTCAGACGACCATGATAGGATTCCACAATCCACCTCGATTTGGTGATAGTTCTGTCAAGATTTGCTTGGACGTCAGAATGTTGACTTTGACCGGGTTTCAGGTATGACGGCATGCTAGCATTGAGGCCAGAGGCTTCGAGAACTGGTAGGACATCTCTAAAACCTCGGTCAACGACAACGTTGTCGTCTGGTTGTAGCCAAGTAACTAGCTTGTCCATGACTTTTTTTGTAATTGTAGCATCATTTTCGCTGCCAGTGAATGGTCCTACTGTGTCCAGAATGTAGCCATCTGGTAAGGCGATGCTCATGAATTTGAGATAGTTTCTCTTCTTCTGGCCACAGTAGGACATTCTCTGGAGCTTGTGGTCGGAGCTTTTCTGGATATAAATATAGGTGCCATCTAATATGGCAGTGGCTTTATCTCCAAAAAATGCTTCTGAAAAGACAGTATTGTGCCCGAGCAACTGTTCTCTTGTCAAGTGATCCGGACCTAGAAATTGTGGGACTATCGATGTGTCTAATGCCTGTACTATGGAGTGGAAAGTTTTGGACACACTTGACTTGGAAATTCCAAAAAGAGAAGAACACTGACTCCAGGAAATGTCGGTTTTCAGTTTTACCCAGAACAGTAATAGAGCATCGTGTGTAGTCTTGGTATATATACCAGATGAAAGATATGGGGAACAGTGCGAGTGGATTTCGAGGAACTGATCTTTGGACCAACCTGTCCAGGCCATGCATGCCGAGTCATCAAGAGAAGAAAAGCTTATTGTAAACGCAGACTGGTTCTGTGAAAGGACGTGCGACACCTCTAGGAGGTCATTAATGATTTCGGACGATTTTGATGGTAACTGAGATTCCAAGGAACCTCTACCATCAAGGACAACCTCTGTAGACGGATCTAAGTCGTTACCAATAAGGTGAATGGAGCAGACGCGGGATGAGGTGGGACACCACAGTTTGTGTGAATAGATCAGGTGATGTCTTGCACGTTTTGGTAAGACTGATGATTTTGTTCCATTTCTTGCAAAGGTAACAAGACAGAGACAGCATTTTTTGTGTGAAGATGATCCATTCAAAAGATCATGAAGGGTCAGCAACGGCAGGATATGGGACGGGGAGTCGTCTTCTTCCTCTATTTCCTGGTTCTGCTCGGGTTCAGGTTCAGGCTGATTTTTGTTCCGAAGATACTTCATGTAGCACTTCTGGCAAATAAGTGCTTGTTCCTTTGCTGACATCAATCCTTGTTGCACCAGCGTATCTAGGAGCCATTTATATTGTGGACTATTTACATTGCGTGCACTTCTGTTCTTATTGCCACTACGTTTCTTGAAGTATACTTGACACCCTTCTCCAACACATTTACCCTCCATCTTGAAACAATAACGATTGGTTTATGAAGCGTCGATAAAGTAACAAAATAGCAAGCCACCGATGATTGCTGTAAACAGCTAATACTTAGTAGTTTGGTACAATTATGCGAAAATGTGTGATAAATAACGAACAACTAATTACACAAAATAACAAGACAATATAATAAATCACATTCAATACCTCCAAGAAGCGCAGAATTGATTGATTACTTAGAACAAAATAAAGTATTTCATATGGATAATCTATCTATTCGATGTGGCGTGGTCGGCAGGCACAAAGAAAGTGAGACAAGTCAGGGTCCCAACCCTGACAGAGCCACAACGCTTTGGAGATGGGACAATAAAACAAGGAAAGTGAGACAAGAATAGCTAGCGTCGAGTCAATGATTCCGTAAACGTATAGACAAAGACAAGAAGATACGGATAAATGTACAAGGCCACACGATCAGAAAATTCAGAAGAGGACAACTTGAGATAGAACAGTATTCATGTATCAGGGTGTCCTCAGTGTAAATCTTTATATCGATACTGTTTATTTAGTCGTTACACATCATAAAACTGTCATGAAAATATCCGCTCTGAT